AGCGGTGCTTGGGGGACCATATGGGTTTCTGGGGATTGAACCCAGTTCATCTGTGTAGAAGGCAAGTGCCTACCCTCTGAATTCTCTCGAGATCTAGTGCCTTGTAATAGAGTACTCTTTTTCTTCTATCTAGACTAAGTAGAAAATAGATGGATATTCCTAGGGATCAAACCCAGATCTCATGCATACAAGATGTGTGCGTTGCCACTGAGCCACATCCCCAGCCCTAGATGAACACTCTTGTTTTCTGGGTTTTGGAGCACTTCTAGTGGTGCTCAGTGGCTACTCCCAGCTCCTGTTTGGGGAGCCAGATGATGCTGGGGATCGAGTTTCCTCCTGCAAGCCATTGACTCTCATTTACCCAGCCCATTGACTCTCTGTCTGCTCCCTAGATGGACATTCTTGTGCTTGTCTTTGCATCCTGTTTCTTGCAATATTCCTCGGAATTGACCCCACACAGCGGTGTGAAATAGAGTGACTGTCAGCCGAGGGAATGAATGTCTGGCTTGTTTCCGGGGGATTGGGAGTAGCGCCTGCCGAATGGGTAGCTCTTGGTGCTTGGATCAGTGTTCTTAGGGAAGCCATCCAGGTCCATTGAGGCCAGAGACAGCCTGGGAAAGGAGGCAATGGCTGTGTGAGTTGCTTTGTTTGTTGCGTGCTTACTGACTTTACACCCAGGGACAGGAGAGAAAAACTGCCTCCTCTCGTGCCCCCACTTTCCCATGCAGCCAGTGTTCTATGTTCAGGAAAATGCCAGGGTTTCAGTCCACTCTCAGAGACTCTCATGGGATAGCCTGTTTATTTGGATGCCAGGAGCGGCTGGCAAAATGCTGACCAGATCCTGGCTCTGCCACTTCCTAGCTCCCTGACTACCCTTACAGAGCCTTGCCCTCAGCTTTGTAAGGAGAGGTACAAGAGAAGAATGATCCTAGTCATAAGACGTTATCGTTAGCAAGGTACTAGGGTTCATGCACCTTGAATAGGTTTCTCTATTCAAGAAGACTTGAGTATGTTTCTGTTGGATTGATTCCCTCATGGGAGATCCCAGCCGAGGTTGAATGAAATCTTGTTATCAGACCCAAAAAGCCAAAGAAGAAGTAAAAAAAACGAACCTGGGTTCACTTTAGGTTCATCTCTCCTAGAACTTCTCCACCCTGTTTGTTGAAGACTTCCTGTTTTTTTGTGTGTGAGAAATCCACCGTACAAGGCCCAGGCCAGCCAGCAGAGCAGGCCATGCTTAACGTGTGTGGAATTTTCTTAAAACACACATAGTCGGAATTGTCGTTCCCCCCCGCCCCCAGCACTGGCTGTGTGACGAGAGGAATCATGTGCACTTGTTCCCAGCTTCCTGGGAAGAGTGAGACTCTGCTCTGCTCGCAGTCCAGGGCCGAGCTGGCCACCGGGATGCTGGTGACTGTGTCACAGGCAGCCTACTGGTGTCTGCAGGAAGGCATCTATCTGTGTTGGGCCCAGGAGAAGCGGATTTGGAGTGAGGATGAGCCACCCGCCCACAACATGTTGGTTGTGGGGCTCAGAATCTAAATGAATTAGAGCATCAAAGGGGCATCAGTTGCTCATGATCTCTTGGCTCACCACAGGTGCTCAAAGGAGAAGGAAAGTGGGCCTGGACGCCCGTAGGAGTAGAACCAAAGGTTTCGTAGAGATGTGGAATGCTAAGCACTTTGAAAAGGAGAGCGAATATCGTCTATTTGAATAGAGCATTTTGAGGTGCTGGAGAGATAGTCAAGGAGTTAAGGCACTTGCTTACTTAGTAGCAAGTGACCGGCCCCTGTTAGATCCTCAGTACCATCACATATGGTCCCTGAGCCAGGAGTGATCCCTGAGCACCACCAGGTGTGGTGACATTTTGAGAGCTGGAGAGGTAGTACAAAGAAACCTGGAGCCCACGGTTTGATCCCCAGCACTGCGTGGTCCCCGAAACGGAGCTGGGGGTAGTAGCTCCTGCACTCTGCCCAGTGTGTTTCAAGAACAAATTGGAACCTCTTGCTGCCCCTTGTCCCCACCATGTAAAAAGGGGACTTGCTGTAGCTGACCCGAACCTTGTCTTGTGTTCCCCCCTGCTCGGCTTGTGCCTGCCTTTCCAGGAAAAGGGACTGAGCAGAGGGAAATGACAGTTTTGAAGCTTCTTCCCTTTCACAGTTTGGAGACACTCATGCCAAGTTGGCTCTCCAGGACGCTGGGGGAGTAACTGCTTCGCCACGGGTGTTCTCCACTTTGCTGGGGGATTTACATTTGAGCAACTGAAGCGCTGAGACTGGAGTGAGAGAGCACAGCCGGTTGAAGTATGTGCTTTGCATCGGGGAGGTCTAGCTTGGCTCCCCAGCATGGTCTGGTCCCCTGAGCACTGCTGGAAATGACCCCTGAGCACCGGTCCAGGAGGAGTATTCCCCTCCCTTCCCCCCCCACCCCCCCACACACCACTGGGTGTAGTTTTAAAACCAAAGCCAACAAAAACTAAGTGCTAGCCAGGGATGTGGCAGTAGAGCGCTTGCCTTGCATGTATGAGGCCCTGGGTTTGATTCCTGGCACTGCAAAAGCAAACAAAACCCTAAAACACCCCAAGCGCTAAAATTCAATTATGCGAACTGTGTTTGGGCCAATTCTTGTGACACAAGTGTAGTTCGCACTGGTTTCTTCTCCTCAGTGGAGTGAAGGGAACGTGATTCATGGTGATGCCAGGGCCTCGCTTGTCGATGAAAGCTGTGACTGTGTTGCAGTCACACTGTACTTGCACACCACAGACTGCGCTTGGGGGGGGGTTGGGAGCTTGGGGTACCACGGGTGCTTGGGGATATTTTGATGGTTTTGTCATTATTCCGACTTCTCCTATAGATGGATTTTTCTCTCTTTCTCTACAGTTTATGTGTAGGTGGTACCTTCTCATGGTCTGCTCAGTATGGGTGTGCTCACTTCCCCTTTTGACAGGAAAGATACCTTAGGTGGCAGTAGGGCCTGTCCCCAATGACCTTATTTAACCAACTTACCTTTTAGTTTTCAAGTGCAGTCACATTCTGAGGTTAGGACTTAACATAAGAAAGGGGCAGGGCACAATTCAGCCCACAAAACTGGTCCCCACCCCCCTTCCCCTCTGCCCCATTCCTGACTCTGTTCTGTGACACAGAGTCCAGAATTTATTAATTCAGTCTTGATGTAACTGGGTAAGAGTCTTAGTTTACCCGTGAATAATTTGTACCTGAATCTCTGTATCCTGGTTTATGTATCATGCAGGAAGAGCTTTTTTTCTTTTGGCTATTGGGCCACACCTGGCTGTGCTTTGAAACTTAGTACTAGCTTTGTGCTCAGGGATCACTCCAGACAGCACTTAAGGGGACTATGCAGGGTGCGGGGATTGAACCTGGGTGAATCATGTGCAAGGAAAGTGCCCTACGCACTGTACTACTGCTCCAGCCCCAGGAAAAACTTTTTGAAGAATTGCAAGCATTGCTCCCTGCAGAGTTTATCTTGGGTTTCTCTTGAATGTGTGATAATTGTGGAAAGGAGAGTGTGTGGTATTTGTGATAAGATGTTGGGATGAGAAATTCAGGATGCAGCTTGTAGCTGGTGCTCCTGGCTTTGCGGGATAGAGTTGTCAACCTCTTTTTAGAGTTTTTACGTTATTACTGTTCGTTATTGATTCAGCATTCATTTCTTGAGTCATACTATTTTGTTCATCCCTCCCTCCCTGCTTCCCTCCCTCCCTGCTTCCCTCCCACCCACCCTCCCTGCTTCCCTCCCTCCCTCCCTCCCTCCCTCCCTTCCTTCCTTCCTTCCTTCCTCTAATTCCAACAGTGCCCAGAGGCCACTCCTGCCCAGGCAGGGGGATCATGTGGGACACCTGGGATTTGAACTTAAGATCATACAGTAGCAAGGCAGGCATTCTAACCCCTAGAATTCTTGTTCATTTGATTTTTAAAACAATTTTTAAAGAGTTGTTTTAGGTTCCTAGCAAACTTGAGAGGAAGACACATATACCCTACATGTACACAGTTGCCCCAGTATCAGCTCTCCCACACTTGAGTGCATTTGTTCCAGTTGACACAGTTGATGAGTGGATGAGGGGAGGGATGGGGATTTAACACCTGGTGTGGCCCAGGTCTGCTCTAAGCTATGTGCCCTGGGCTTGCTCTGGATGGTGCTTAAGGGACCATGTGGTGCCAGGATTTGAACCTGGGCCTCCTGCAGTGTGTACACTCAGCTTATTATTTAACTGTCCAGCTCCCAAGTAGATGCTTTAAAAAAGAAAAGCAATCACAACAGACCCACACCTGACAACGGAATCCCCATTTGAGGTGATAATCCTTGATTTAGTCTAGTAGCACCGACCAACAAAACCCAGTCCTGCTGCACTCACCTACCTAAAAGCTCACCATGTGGGTATAACTCTGGTAAACAGTGAGTGTGCAAGAGGTACCAATTCTTTTTGAGCTTCAAGCTATGCACTTTTACTTCCTGCAGAGACGGATGGATGCAGACATGCATAGTTTCCTCAACACTGCGAGGCACTGGGTTTCTGGGCTATTTCATATCTAGGCTCCTGGAGTTAGGGCAAGTCCCTTTCTTGGGCCCACATTCATGTTTCCTCTTTCTTCCTGTCTCCATTTGTTCTTCCCTCCCCCGCCCCCCCCCCAAACCCCCAGTTCTTGGCATCTCCTCTTGCTCTCAGCTGATCCCAAAACTCTTTTGTTTGGTGTGTGAGTAGTGATTACAGTGCTTCACGGGGAACTCTGCCTTTCCTGTTTAATTACTGAGCATCTTCCAAGCCATGATGCATGTGTGCGAGTCACTCAGCACAGTCTCAGACCGGTTCTGACAAAAGCTTTGTTCCTGACACTGACCAGCTCCCCTCTGCCCTGGGAGCAGGATGCTCCAGGAGAATGGTAGGTGGCCTGCAGGGTCGGATCGTAGGAGGCTGGGTTCCGGGGTTTGTCCCACAATGGAGCCCAGAGGCTGACCTTGGTTCTCTTTCTCCTTTCTTCCAGCTGGCCTGCTGCTGTGGGACTGCAGGCTGCTCCCTCTGCTGTGGCTGCTGCCCCAAGATCCGGCAGTCCCGGGGCACCCGCTTCATGTATGCGCTGTACTTCATCCTGGTCGTCATCCTCTGCTGCATCATGATGTCCGAGACCGTGGCTAAGGAGATGCGGGAGCATGTAAGTTTGCACCTTTCACTTTTTCTTGCCTCCATGTCTGACTCGGGGGTGCAGAAAATGTGCAGGCTTGGTGATGTGCTGACAAACACACAGAGCTAGGGTGTGCTGCCTCTCCTGAAACGTTCCTGAACTTTCCTGAAGTCTCTGAAGAGAGATCTGCCGAGCAGGTAGGCCAGGCCTGTGTTTCCCCCTCCCCCCCAACCCCCGTTTAGTTTGGGTGCAGTCTGCCGCTTTCCATGGAGGAGGCTTATGTCTGGATTATGTGCTTTTTGCTTTGCCTTGTTTGCAGCTGTTTCGTTGTGGGGTAGCGATCAAAAGACCACTGGAGACCATGCCCCCCCAAAAATTAGAATTTGGGGGTGTCTTTGTTGGCACCAGCTGGCAGGCTGTCCTGCAAGGCAGGGCAGCAGCCTTCCAGCAGAAGCACTGGTCTTTTATTAGGGAAAACCACATCCTGATGTCCCGGTCAGTCTCGTAAGCACCTGAAGAATTAGTTTAGCTCACCGGGACCACATCCTGGCGCCTGTAAGTCCACAAAAGTGCAGCGAAGCAAGCATTGTTACAGAAGCCAGGAAAGAAGCGATTTCATGAAGCAATCTGTCATTTTCAGCCACCTTTAGGTCCCCAGCCCATTGTTCCTGTTTGCAATCCATGATGGGCTTTCTGCATTTTGCTACTTGATGGAATGACAGAGTTAAATCAGTTAAAAAAAAAAAAGAAGAAAAGCTTCTAAGAAACTAAACTTATTCCTCCCTTTTGATCTCCCCTTTATAGTTCCCAATTCGGTGTATAGTCTTAGAGGGGTGTGTGTGTGTGTGTGTGTGTGTGTGTGTGTGTGTGTGTGGTGGGGCGTGTCAGCACCCAGCTATTCTCAGGGTTTACTCCTGGCCCTGTACTTAGGGATCATTCCTGTCAGGGCATGGAGGACCATATGTGGTGCTGGGAATGAAACCCAGCTTGGCTAGGTGCAAGGCAAGTGCCCTCCATGATGTAGCAGCACTCTGGCACCTGTACTTCTCCTTTATCATAACAATAACTCTTAGTATCTCAGCAGCAGTCTTTGTAATATTTTGTTTTTGAGGTAATATGGTTACAATATGCCAAACACAGTAACAACAAGTCTCACAGTGGAGACATTACTGGGCCCGCTGGAGCAAACCCATGAACAAGGGGAGGACAGTGCTACAGTGCTATGGTTGCAATTGTGTTAACTTTTGGAGGGAGGGGGGAAGCTGGCAGTTTAAATGTGATTCTCAGGGCTTCTTATTCTATGCTCAGGGGTCACACTTATGATGGTGCTCAGGGGATCATGTGGTGCAGGGGTCAAACTGGGGTCAGCTGCATGCAAGCACCTTACCTTCTGGACTGGCTCGCTGGTTCTGGTGTTGATGGTTATAATCTTGGTGTACAAAATTGCTGCACCACCGAAGTGGCTAAGATCCTCCTTTTATCATTGTTCGTGAGTCATTTCTGTTCTACCCCATTCCATAACCTCAGTTCTGTTGTCGGAGCCCAAGGGTCTGTTTCCATTGGGCACTGTGCGGTCCTGTGCTTTGTTTCCTTGCTGACCACATGCGAGTGAGATCATCCCGCATTTGTCCTTCTACTTCTGACTTACTTTACTTGACATAACACTGTCTCATTTTCTCCACATTGTGGCGAAAGGCAATCATCTTTTCTTACAGCTGAGTGTAGTACTCTGTTGTGTATGTACAACCATGATACCTTTATCCACTCATCTGTCTGTGGACATTTGAGTTATTCTCAGATCTTGGCTATTGTAGATGGTGTTGCAGTGAACACAGATGTGCATATATCTATTTTGTACTCTTGGGATAGAGGCCAGCATATCTCAAAATTTTTACCATTTCCCATGGAGGCCAAACCAGATGACATCCCCATAGCAGTGAATGAGGGTTGGCTTTTCACCACATCCCTGCCAGCACTTGTTTCTGATATGATATATCTGATATGATATATGCCTTTCTCACTGGTGCTATTGTTATTTTGATTTTCCCTTTTCACTGGTGCTATAGTTATTTTGATTTGCATTTCCCTCATAATCAGTGCTGCTGATGGCTGTTGGCCATCCCTGTGACTTGTTTGAAGAAGTATCTGTTCCTCACCTTTCCTGCTAATTTTTTTTAAAGGGCTTGTTTTGTTGTGGTGGTGGAGTTTTTTGAGTACCTCCCATATTAGCTCTCTGTGAGATGCCTGGTGCGAGTGAATATTCTCGCCCTCTCAGTAGGTTCAGTTTCTATTTCAGCCCGAGTTTCTTGTGCACTGCAGAAACCTTTGCTGTGACTAGAACTGCCATGTAGTGTCTGTTTAAGCCTGTACTTTCAGCCTCTGAGAGAGATGGTGCAGCTTAGATAATCCCACGGCGGGCTTTAGGGGGATTTCTCCTTTTGTGAACTTGCCACTTGCAGGGTGTGTGATTCTAGGGATCGGAATGGATCTTCTGCCACTTCTTTGGCCGTGTGTGCAGCTAGTACGAGTTGCTGATGCAGATACCCATTATTCATTTTACTAGAATTTCATTCTTCATCCCACAGTAAACTCTTGGTCACCCAAAGGTCTACACTGGGATAAAGAAGGGATAAAGACACCGGGAAAAGGGGGGAATTTGTAGGGGTTTTTCAGAGACCTCCAATAAATGACCCTGTCCTTGCTCTCCTAGGTTCCAAACAAACTGACACAGATAGAGATCACCTTTATTCCTTCCGAATCCAATGGAGTCAGTGTCATTTGCACACTTAGGGAAGTGATTTTTTTTTTTTAGCCACTGAACACCCTCTAGCTTGAAGCCTGTGTTTGGTAGGAGCTGACAATGTGTACAGATGGTGGTGAGAGAGATAGCCCAGAGGACTGGAAGGCATGTCTTCTGTTGCTCCTCAGTGCTGCATTATCTCCAATCTCTCTCCCGCCCCCCACCAACTACCAGGAATAGCACCTACTCCCCTCCCCATAAAAATTTATTTACATTGTGTCTGTGGCACCATTCTGTCTCTTAATGTTTTATTATTTGTTTGTCTTTTCAACTTGAAAGTCTAGTGAAGCTTAAGTCTGTGAAATGAAGCCTTGATCCAAGGAGTAAAATAGGAAACTACAGATTCTTGATAACTTGCTCTGGAACCTAGCAGGAGCATTGCTAAATGAGCTACAGATAAATTGGCAGCTACAGGACTATATTTTAAGAAGTGACTTTCATCATCATGAATTGAATAGTTGAGGGGCTAAAGCTGTGGCCCAGCCCACACATCTTACATGTGTGAGCTCACTCCAGGCTCACTCCCTGGCATTGCACACACATAAGCCCCTAGTTACTCCTTTACCAAATCTGCTGACCATGTAAGTGGCCTGCTCTCTGTATGCAGTCGTTAATATCTCCAGTCAGTCCCTGTGCCTTCTGACGATCATAGGACATATAAGGAGCAAAGGCATTGACTGTTGTTGCTGGGGGTCTTCATGGCAGAGGTGATGTGTGTGATAAGTATTTAGATGCTAGCAGGTAGCTGGTGACACAGGGTGCCAGGTTTGTTCTCAGCATCTTCCTTGTGTCCCCTCAGGCCATCGCTGCTGTCCGCCCCGTCATTATCCCTGCCCAGCAAGTGGGTGACAGAGGTGCTGAGTCATGTGTGTTCTGTGCCTCCCACCCCAACTCTTTCTTTTTCCTCTTTCTTCCCTCCCCATCCTTGCTTATTGATGCTGTGGCTCACATACACGCCTGGCGCTGATGCTCCCTGGGGTTCCACCATCAGACTGCGCAGCTGTGCATACAGGTTTGGGGCTCACTGAGTTCGCCGGCTGTGCTGCTCTTGAGGTCAGGCACGGAAGTTAAGGTCCAAATGCTCACTGGGGCCCATGTTTCCTGGCTACGCTGCTCTCACAACTTTTTAGTGTGTTGCTTACTGGGGGTAGCACCCTGTGAGTTCACCAAGTGTGGGGCTGCCCTGACTGCGTGTGCCTCCCCATTCTCCCCAGGCCTCTCCAGCAGAGCAACAAAGAGACAGGGGACCACAGACTGAAGGTGAAAATGGCCCATTAAATGCAGAACTGCGAGCATACTTATAGAACATCTGAAGGGGTCAGAGGTATAGGGCTGCATGGTTCCTGTGATTGATCGTTTGCAGAGGTAAAACATTCCGGCAGAGACAATTCTCTGGGGAATATTAACTCAAGGAGACACGCTGTCTCTCAGGGACATCTATATTGCTTTACTCTTTCCCCCTCGTCCTATATATCAATTAAGTTAAATAGTTAATCAAACAATTAGGTCTGCTTCTTATCAATACTTGAAGTTGTTTGGATAAACACAATAAGAGATACAAATCCCAAGCTTTGTTCTCTTGGGCTCTTAGTTTTCTGAGAGCAAGCAAGGCTTTTACTGTAAATCCCGGACTAAGTCCTCAGGCCAGTTCAGCTTGTCCTTCCCCATGGGGGTCCTGTCACTTCAGTCATAAAAGCTTGTATCAAGACCACACATATATGCTTTCAGCTGTCCCACTTTGATGACAAGGTAGCTTCGCCACTCACCCCAGGTCCATCCCAGTCCCACGGAGGGACCTCCCATTTGGGATATTAGGAATTACAGCAACCGAACCCTGAGTCAAGTAATTATGATGGATGCCCAGGATTAGATATATCTCAGCGTCAATCAACTACCAAATAATAGGAGCACAGCATTAACAGTCTTTGCGCTTAAGCAAAGAACAATATTGCTCTAAAGTAAAATTTGGAAAGGCCATAGGGTAAATAGAAAAGCAGGTACAAATACACAGCACTACAAAGTCTAGAATTACCAGAAAGTTTTGGCTTATAAGTATTCAAGACTGACTTAATGAACTGGAACAATGAGGGGTAAGACACAAAGGAAAAGCTAAAGAGAATCTTAGGGAAAAAGGGATGCTCACAAGAGCATTGTAAGCTTCTCTGAGAGGAGGAAAAGGGACAATTCACTAATGAAGCCTGAAACATTTAGGGTTACTATCCAACAGCAC